AGCACATGGAAGCCATCACTATGGTCCTGATAATCTGGGCTGAACTAGGGATAATAAATCTATATTTTATATTAGTGATATTTTTAAAGTTTACAAGCATTTAAATAAAAACACAGCAACCTTAAATAGATCTGCCAAATTCACATGAAGACAAAAACTAAATTGCTTTTTGCTAGGACAAGAGCCAGAGTTTTTTTTAAAAACAGTACTTACAAAACAATGCTTAATTAACAACTACATTAGTACAAAAGATTGTTTTACTCATAAGAAAAATGCATCCACAGTTCTTCAATATACACTGCAGGTAGAAGTCACTTCAATCACAAATACATTATTAGTTGAAACTCAATGTTAATTAAACCTGGAAAGAATTTTAATGCGTGATATCCACAACACTTTTCCCACATTGTATTATACATTTAGATTATATTTTTGTTATAATTCACAGTTGTTTTGGTTAAGACACCTTCCCTTTGATGCACAAAAATGTGATTCATTTTTCCAAAGCTTCCACCTGAGAAGCTGTCAGCCTTGTGAGGTAGTCCAGACCAGCAGCACACCCAAAAGTACTAGTTCTACTTTATTGTAAGGTAACAATCTTAACAGAATCTTGCAAGTCTGAAAGTACATTTCTCCCCCATCACCTTTACAGCCCAAGAATTTGCCATGCCCACATTCTTCATGCAGACTAAGCTGCCTCTTATTTAACCATTGCTGTGGCTCTTCCCCGTCTCCCAAAGTAATTTCCACATACCATTACAAAAGCATTAAAGAAATAGATTTGAATATATTAAAATATATTAAAAATCCAATGAAGTTCCTGATTTATATCTCCAAGTCAACAAGTCATATCAAAAGATAACCTACATCCTTGCATTATTCTTTCACTCTCAGCACCCATTGGTGTATTACAGAAATAATACCATTACACCATTGGCAATCTTCATTTTGTACTGGGACAGAGCATGGCCTTGCTCATAGAACATATTAAGCCATAATGAGATTCATCTGATTTTGTCTTAGTGTGTTGGGTGACTTATTAGCTGTGGCTTATTCAATAAACCATGGTTTAGCAGGTTGGACAAACCAGCCAAATATATATATATATATAAATTATATACAATATATATATATAATTTTATTAAAAATTCTTTAAAAAGATAAAAACTAATACAAACTAATATTAAGAAAAAAGAAAAAGAAATAAAAGAGAAAGCTAAAAGTGCAAGAAAGGGGAAAAAAGTGAAAGAAAAATAGAAAAAAAAAGATACAAAGAAACTGCTTCCAATCTTATTTACGGCAGTTATAATTACAATTATAAATTTACCTCTTACTCTATGGTTACAACATTACTCTCTATAATCTATCCTGTCTAATCATCAAAACCATACATTATAAGTTAATTTTTTTTTCTGTTTTACACAAAAAGTCCATAAGGGGTTTCCAGTCAGCAATAAATGTAGACATTGTCTTTTCTCTAATCAGTCAATTTGGCCATCTCAGCAACTTCCATCATCTTCACCAACCATTCCTCCATTGTGGCTAATGCCAAATGTTTCCATCTTCATGCATACAATAATCTCACTGCAGTTATCATATACAAAAAGGAAGTTCCATGACTTTTTCCATCTGTTTGTCCATCAATCCCAAAAGAAAAAACATCTGGTCTCAATTGTATATTAATCTTTAAAATCCTCTGAATCGGTGTATTTGAATCCAAAATTTACACTATGTTATAATCTTAAAGAGAATTTTTATAAAATGCTGTACTGTTGGTATATGTCACCAAAGAAATTGTCTAGAATGTATAAAGGCACTTCAAATTTATACTGGAAATGTGAACAAGGGATATTTTATCATGTTTGGTGGATGTGTAAAAAAGAAAAACCAGGTGAATCTTCACTATGTTCAAGAAGAAATGGAAAACCCATTTTAGATTAATTAGATTGCTAAATATTAATGAAGTTGATTAAAGTAACCGCTGCAGAAAGGGGTATAACATAATGATACCAAGTGGAATTCTCCAAGCTCTCACTATCCCCATCTTAACGCAATTCTGTATATAGGTAGTCCCCAGTTTAAGAACAAGTTCGGTTCCCAAGGTCTGTCCTTAAGTCAAATTTGTATGTAAGCTGGAACAGTATTATTGTATTAACAGTAGTATTGTGTAATTAACTCAAACCATTATGTATTTAACTCAAATTTTGCTACAATAGGCTCCATTCTTAACTGTGGGCTGTCCTTAAACCAGGTGTTCTTAACCCAGAGACTACCCATATTTTAGGAAACAGGATAAAGCTATCATATACATATATGTATGTGTACTTTCACACACTCCAACAGCTACAGTATCTGAAACACCTTTTCTGGGTTTGAAAACTAACCACGGTCAAGCCTCCAAGTAATACCAGTATTTTAGGATAGCCTAAGAAGTTAGAATAATATCCCAGAAGAAGGCAAAAGCAAACAACCTCTGTAGTGCTGCCAAGAAAATTAATGGATACTTCCATGAAGTCATTAGTTCAGTTTCCAACCTGAAGGAGAGTTTCCCTTTCCATCTCTATATAGAGAAAGAAAGAAATTACATATAACTTATCTGGGGTAAAAATCTCACAAAATTCTATGGTACATAGATCTTAATTTGATTAATAAATAATACAACTGTGCTACAAGTAGTGGTAGAGTGAGAGAAATGTTCAGGAAATTCTAATATTGTTTTAAGAGCAAGTCAGAAAGTAGGACACTATTTTTATGAACAAATTAAGCCATTGGACAACTGCTCTGTATAGTATAAGCATTACCAATGTCTAATAATGACCGACCAATGGAACATACACCTTTTTCTCCCCACTTGAAACAATGAAGACTTATCATAATGACAAAGTGCCTCAATAATACATAGTTAATAGGGTATCACTCTGCATGAGCTTAATTTGCATTAATATATTAAAATATATTTTAATCAGGAAGAATTATAACTGCAGACAAGCTAACTGTCGAAGAGAATTGTGGCTTGGGTTTTGCTGTTTTTAATTCTGCTTAGGTTGTATGCCATTCAGAGCCAATTGGAATAAAGTGATATATGAATGTTAGTAATAAAAAAAACAATGAGCTAATTAGTTGCTAATGCTCATAACTGATTAGCTGAAAAGACAATAGTTAGGTTCTCCAAAGTGTGGGCTGGAGGTGCCATGTGGTACATGTGAGCTTCTTATAATGGAGTCCCAAATGTCTTTTTTTTTTTACATATTGCCAAAAATTTTAAAATATTTTATTATTTCATTTTAGTCATGAAAGGAACCATACAAAGTCTTGTATCACTTATGAAAGAACAATTTGCCTGCTGCTGTTGATGCCTTGAGAAAATACTCTGACAAGAGAATGAATTCACAAATAATGAAAGGAAGGCTGCATTCAGAAAAAGTGAAACTGAAGAAAACCAAAACTCCAGGTTGCATTTGCTGGTGGTGCAGTCTTTATAAGTATTTAACAATGACCAACCCAGTGCTTCATATACACTTACTCATATATTTGACTTGCACATTTACAAAATAAAGCAAACATAAATTTCCAGTGTTCTCCCATACAATAGGATATAACTTCTTTGGTATTGCCTTAGACTGTACCATTGAGGAAGCAGAAACTTCTTAAAATAACTTATTCTTCATGCTTGTATAGCATACTAATACAGATACAATAGCATACAAAGGTGATAAACATGAAGATCATGGCTTTGCTAAATGTACTAGTATGCAACCTGTGAAGCACCTATATATCCTAAGCTACCCTGAATTTGGAATGTTGCTTTGCAGGAAAAGGTTGTAACTCACTGGTAAAGTGCATGTAAAAGGTTCTTAGCATCACCAGGTAGAGTTGAGAAAATTTCCTCTCTATCACCCTGTAGAATTGTTGCTAGTCTTTTTAAGCAATTATTTATTTGAGCTATATAGTCAAAATCTGATGTAGTACAAAGCTTCAGATCTCTTTTCATAAACATGACAGATATGAACCTTCCACTGACATATAGGCCTGGTACATAACATGCTAAATTACAATGTGGTTTCGTTTTATGGTCATTGTATGACTTAGCATGTTACAAAGACTCATTTACTAAATAAACTGGTTAAACCAACCATGGCTTAGCATATTGAATAAACTCAGCTAAAGACTTTTGGGCCATTTATCAGGAACCCAAAAAGTCCCAGCAGAAAGTCTTATTTAGACCCAGTTCACCCCTTCATGTGAAAGTTATTTTCTTTCACCCCAGTCTATGTTTTCTTTTGCATAACATGGGAATGGAACCGGTTTTTCTTGCTGTTTAGGTTTAGAACAGTCCCTATATTTTAAGAGCATTCTGATCTACAACGAAACACTTATATACTATTTGTTAGAATGCTTAGAGGAAGCCTGAGCCAGGCAATTAATAGCATTTTGCAACAGCGTTCTTATAAGAGAAATACTACTCAAACGAGCTCTAGTACATTTTTAAAAACCTAGAATTTTGTGTAAGAAAAGACTAGGAACCAGCACAATTTAAATAGATGACTGAATAAGAAGCAGCTGAATCTAATTAAAGTTACTGCCCCCAAACCAATATATTATAGCAAATGACATGCAGCAAGCTTTTCGGGAAACCAGGTTAAACAGGAGCTCTCTGGTTACCTGATAAAACAAACACCAGCATTTGTCTGGTAACTGCAAAGGACGTGTGCTTTTTCAAGCGCGGTGCTTCTTAATTTAACCGTGGAGTAACTCAGAGAAAGAGTAGAAAGGCACTTGGAAATCTAACCGTGAAAACATTCCAAGGCCGGTTGAAAAGGAAGTCACGCAAATGCTTATTTAAGGTTCAACACCTCCCACTGCCCGCCAAAGTCAAAGAGAAAACAGCTAGAACCCGGCCAAGGTCCAGGACAATTCATTAAGCCGTCCCGCCCTACGGGCCCTACGGAGTTGCAACTCCCCTAAGCGAGGAGCGGATCTGTGGGAGGGCTGGCGCTTACCGGCACAGATCCTGGTAATTGAAGGCGCCCTGGGCCGCTACGACGGTGGGGAGGTCTCCCTTCTGGCCCGGGAGGAGAAGCAAGAGGAGGGAAGGCAGCCAGCGGAGCCGGAGCGCAGCAGCCCCGCACGCTGGGACGAACGCGACGCGCCCCATGGCAGACCGAGGGAGAGCTCCACGAAGGTTACTCGGCTGACATGATCGAGCAGAAACCGAGGAAGCGCACTGGCGGAAGAGTCATGTGACTCCCACCCACCCACCGCGCCAGCGCCGTTCACCTGACCGACCCCGAGCTGGTCACGTGCCGGCAGTCATGTGAGGCGGGGCGCGTGGATGACGGAATCGGGGGCGGGTGGCGCGATTAGGGGAGGGGAGCCTCCTCGCACTTCTTGAATGGGCGCGAGGGCGGCTTTGGTTGACGCGTGCGTACGTGGCGCTGCAGCCCTAGCACAGGTGGGCGCGTGCCGACGTTCCCCTCCCAGGTTGCTTCGGCTGGGAAGGGCTCGTTGGCGCCTGCGAGACGGGCGCGAGGGAAGGAGCCACAGGTTTAAAGAGAGGCACGAAATTCAGTTGTGCGGAGACGCCGTGGCTTCAGGGAGTGGTTCCTCTTACTGAGGGCTCATCTTGCTTCTATTGAGTAATTAAAAGGATGGTGCAGATCGAACATACTTCGAAAATAAGGAGCGTTGCTGGATTATTACTAGCCCCATTTTAGGGCAGCATTTTGTTTCTTGCAATGGTCAAGCAGATGCTTCTAGGATGTTCCAGAAGGAGGTGGAAACAACCCCCTCTTGCAATTGGTATTTGAAGGCATATTGCCCCCAACCAGGTGCCTTAAACTTATTAGTGCTCACTTGAACTATGCTTCATAAACACCATCCAAGTTAGCGGCCTTCATGTGTTCTAGTTATGAATTACACAGCTGAATTATGTGTTGTGTGAAGAGGTCCTGCCGTTCACCTTCCTAGGGTGACTCTTGTCCACATGATCACAAATGGATATTGTAATATATTACAGGACTCATTAATTTAGGGATTTTTCCTACATTGAGTCTAGGAGTTGCATAGTTGGTTTCCCTTCAGGTAAGATGCTTATTGTGTTTCTGTTAATTGATATGTGCCATCACATCAGTGTTGACTCTTAGTGTCCACATAGATAGATTTTCTCTACAATAATCTGTCCGTAACTTGCTCCTTCAGGTCTTCCAGCAGTGCACCCATTGCTGCTGTAACTGAGTCCATCCACCTTGCTGCTGGTTGTCCTGTGTTTCTTTCTGAAGTTATTTTTTAATTTTTTTCACAGTTGCTATGTCCTGCAGTGCACTAAACCGTAAAGTGATTTGTTTGGTTTTGTCTTAACCTGTTGTTTGAAGCCAGATATTGTGGTTTATAATGGCTATGTTATTTGCACTCAGCCAACAGGTTTATTCAATAAACTAGTTAAGTAAACTAACTTGTAAGTGCATTGTGTGTAGTAGCATATGCAAAGGAAACAATTTCTCACCGATTCATACTTTTAAAAAAATCCATACAGTTAGTAATGAAGTAGTTAGGGTGTGGGATTACGAGCAAGGTAACCCAAAATCAAATCCATACTAAGCCATGGAAGTTCACTGGATGACTTTGGGACCCTAACCTACCTTACAGAGTTATTGTTATACAAATTAATTGGAATGTGCTATGTGCATTGCCTTGAGTTGCTGAGCCTCAAGTACAAACTACCAATGTGATTGTTTATCTTTTCAAAGTCTAATATATTAGGCACAGATATAAATATTTAAAATATTAATGTCTCAGAATAAAGGCAGCGTTTCTCCATTAGTCCTCCCATGTATTTATTTAAAATAAAGTACTTTTTTTTTACCAAAGGTCTTCTAAATCAAGTATAAGTAAATTCTCTGAACTATACCTTTCAATCTCATGAGTCAAAAATGTAAATATCTTCTATAAGAGATTTATCTTGATCACATACCACATTAAGTCAAGGCTTGTTTAACTCTGAATTGTTGAATAAGCCACAGCAGGCTTGATTCACATGGTACACTGAGACGTGGCTTTCAAATCACAATGATTAAATTCATACTTTGCACTTAACCAAAACCCAGAAAAATCACATTATAATGTATCGTGTTATGTGAACCTAGCCATAGGCTGATGAAAGATGCTTATATTAATGTGATGTCAAGGACTTTATTTGACTGCTATTTGGGATTTATGAAAGACAGAATTGAAAGTCAGTCTGGGATTTACTTCCTAGTTAACATATGTGGTAATAATGATGGTGGGTCTCCAAAGCTCTATTTAAACAATATGTTGAGCCATAGTTTGCTTACTGTATTGAATAAACCATGGTTGACTGGGTTCACATAGTGCATTACTGATATCAACCATAGAGGCTAGGTTTATTCAACATACTAAGCCACAACTTCCCCCCAAGTCCCTCTGTGTGGTCACGAAGAGTCAGCATCAACTTGATGGCATAGTCCTTCTATGTGCATACTATGTTTGTTCTGGCTCTCACGTTGGATAACAGCACTTCAGTACTGCCATGCGGAAGAGCCCCCCCACCCCAAATCTTTCCTTATAGGAAGCAGTATTGCTAATACTGTAAGATATTTGCTAATACAGTATTGCTAATACTGTAAGATATTTGTTCCTATGTATGGAAAATACATGGAATTTTATTTTTGCTTAAGTCGAGTACAATATATTCAAGGGACTCAGTTGGAGCAACTCAGCAGCTTGAATGGAGACTGTTATGCTTCCTGAGTTGTCCATTTTATGAGTTTCATTCTCGGTGACAATGAGCGGGACTGGCCATGTATGAGCATAAAGATGGGTATCCCAGTCTTCTTGTCTAGCGCACATCTGAATAAGCAGACAGTAGAACCTATAGGACCTATTTGTATGATGCATTAAATGTGGCTTAGAAAAAGACATGGAATACAGATTTACATACAGGTGAAACTCGAAAAATTAGAATATCATGCAGATGTTCATTTATGTCAGTAAGGCAACTCAAAAGGTGAAACCAATATATGAGATAGA